TTGGTATGCATTGAAATTTCAGTTTAAGGACAAAAGTGTTGACTCCAATTTTGAAATCAAACTAACGATTTAGAGATAAAAACAAAACATAGCCGAAACCGAAAAAAAAACGCTGAAATTTTCCAGACAAACGTGTGTTTGTCGGCAAAAGGTTTTTGCGCATACAGCTAACGATTTTGTCGACAAGCGTATATACGGTCTTGTTTGTTAAAACTATGTGTTGAACACGCCATCTTCGCTTTTTATTCAAAATTATTTTGAAAATGACAAAAACAACTATAATTTCAGACAAGCCAAAGAAGTTGGTCAGACTCGTAAAGCTGTCATGAAAGCCACTGAAGACAATACTCCAGTGACTTCTGGACCCTTGAATATTCAAGATGTCCCTGGTTATGAAGATAAGGCGGATGAAATTATCAGAGAGAAGAGGTAAGAAAATATAGGTCCAGGCCATATTTTACGGTTTCGATGACTTTAGAAATTATTGGGGTATTGTTTCCTAGGATTAACAAGTGAGCCTTGACAATATTATTGAAGAAAATACTTTCTGTTTTGAATCATTTACTTGTCAACTAAAATGTGTACTGAAATAATACGTTGTTTCTTGTTATCATTCGTCAATTCATTCCAGCAGAAATATCCAATCAACCCGTCACAATAATGTTATCGAAGACCCAGAGACTTCTGTTCCTTCACCACAAGCATCAAATGTTGAAGCGGAGGCAGTTGATGATCTTCAAGTAGAACAACAGATTCAAAGGTAGTTGATTCATATTACATATCCATATTACTTCACAACACATTTTCTTGAACATTTTTGCAGTTTCTTGTGCTCCATAAGTTTAGATATACATAATTTCGGTATTATTTCAACGGTTACTCGGAGCGATAAGCTTTGCTTTGTTAGTAGATTGAAATATGATTTTTTTAAAACCCCTATTAACGATTCTTTTTTATCAATTCCCTAATTCCAGGTCTCCCCAAACAAAACAAGTGCTAAAAGCAACCAAAACGCAAAAGGAGCTGACTGAGCCAGAGCCCGTTGAAGTTATAGATGTATCGGATAATGAAAATGATCCAGTTGAAGACATACGAATGGCCGAGCCCCTCAGGTTCGTCATTTGAATAAGCATTAAGTCAATTTAACCACTGTTTTTAGGTCGGCTCTCAAATCTGCGCATCGAGATGAAAATGCTCCCAAAGTAGAGAAAGTGCTGATGTTCTCCAAGTTCAATGAAGTATACGAGGTGCCCTACAAGAAAAAAGATAACAATGGCAATCCGTATTTAGATTTACATGTTTGGGATAAGAGGTTTGAGAAGTTTTTTTTTTCGATTTCAAAATTTTTATTAGTTGAAAGATCTCCGAACAAAATTACCAGTTTCTGGTTGTTGTGAAATAATGATGACGAAACGTTAATCTATTGGTCAGACAGCAAACCCAAATGCATTCTTTTTCAGAATCATCCGGTATACCAGAGAACCAGAACTTCTGAAACCACCACCAACCAAGAATCCAATCAGTGCCAACCTTGGGTCTGTAGAAGATATTGATGTATCGGATGATGAGTTGAAAAAATCTATACGAAATTCTATTCAACTGATTATGTTAGTTTCCTAGCTTGGTTCGAAAACTAAAAAATAATTCTCTCAGGACAGCCAGTGGAATTGCTCAAAAACCTTCAAACAAGCCGGCTGAAGAATCAGAGGCCGGTGCAAAAGTGGCTGATACAGAAGACATGCCAGATGAGGAAAAAGAAAATGAGGAAACTGTGGAGAAGAATAATGGCAGACGAAGGTACGTTAGTTTGAAAACATATGTTTTCTTTATTTTTGTTTCATAACCATCCTAAAAGTTCTTAATCCATCAAGTATTTGTTCCGGACATTCTCATTCTTGACTTATGTATCCCTGCCTAACCCAAATTTCCAGAAGTGCTCGCCAGGCTGTTCAAAAACCAAAACGCCAACCGGTCAAGAAGAAAACCGCCTACAAATCCAGAGGCAACCCAAGAAAAAACAACAGAAAGCCGCCAGCCACTCCAAAGAAAATAGCCAAAAAGCCCGAGACCATTGAACCACCACAGGCCGATGAAGTTGAGGATCAAGATATGCCAGATGAAGATCCGACATCCAAAGAGAAGTACAGCCTTCCATCTGATTCAAAAATCAATATATACTTTTTCAGATATAGTGTGGTTCTACAAGCTTTCATTCGATCAGTTACCTATAAACAGAGACATGGTGGGCCTAAGAAAGCTCCATTGAGGTGATAAACTGACAAAAAAACGGGGAAATTCAAATTCGGTTGTTTTACAGAGAACTAATCATGCGGCGAATTTATATCCCTACTGGCTACAATGACCTGAGAACAGCACCACCAATGAAGGAAGGTTTTCAGCGGTGAGAGGTCAAATACTGTAATCGTTGAGCAATATAAATTTCAGATGGAGAGTTCTGGCAACCGATGATGCGTTGGAGGAAATGGAGATGATGGAATCCAATGGGCAACCGAGATCCAGACGGCCGAGAAAACGATTCAGGAAAAAACAAGTGGCTACGCAAAATACACAGGCTAGGACATCTGGAACTCAACAACCACAGCAAAGGTGAGTTATAAGGTTAAAAAAAATAATTTCTTCATTGCAGATCTGTTTCTAGAACGAATTCCTCGAGAAATACCGGCCAACAACCACAACGACCAGTCGGAGATGTTATCACTATCAGTGACAATGCCGAAGAGCCTGGAGCATCTGTACAACCTGCTGGAGGGTGAGGATTATTGAACTTCCAGCTTAGAAAAGAACGTAGATTTCTAGATCAAACCCGCGTGCTCTTAGAACATCAAGAGCTACCGAGCAACAGCAAAAAGAAGTGATCACTTTGGATGACGATCCGCCATCAACGGGATCAGAAAGAAGGTAAGGGTTTGGATCATCAACATCCCAATATCTATTTAGTATCTATCATCTAACAAAGACAACGAGAAACGGACATTTTTTGTCAAAATTCCAGATTCATCAAATTAATAAATTTTCAGCGTAATAAGCACACGAGGCTCGACCGCACGGACCGTAGGAGGTGTTATCACTATTGAGGACTTTGAAGTTGAAGAACAACCAGGAAGCACCTCAAACCCTCCTGTCCCTAATGCAAACCAAACCCAACCAGCTACCACCAATGAACCATACAAAAGGGTTATCACTATGGCGGACTATGAGACTGGCTCACCACCGCCGGAATCGGAGAGAGGGTAACTTTTACTGAATTTTTCTTATTTTGTAAAGAAACTGTTCGTAAACTGGTTACGATTAAAAGAGTTCACAACATATTATAGTTTTAAAGTTAGCAACGTTCGGTGAATAAATTTAATAAAATTGTGTTTCAAACAAAAGTTATGTGTAACAGAAAATTTACGCGGTGGTGACATAATTGTACGTTTCAGTGTATGGAGAAGACCGGGAACATCCGCTCGTGCAGTGGGAGGTGTTGTCACTATTGAAGACTATGAAGATGCTGGACAACCAGGAGCATCTGAGCAACAGCCACCTCAACTTGTTGGAGGGTGAAGCTTGAAAATTAGCAAAATTCTTTCACACTTCATATATTTTCAGTTCAAATCCACCCGTTGATAATACAACAGAGGACCAACCACAACCATCTGAGAAACCATACCAGAGAGTTATAACACTGGATGACTTTGAGATGGAAACACTTTCAGAAAGAGGGTAAGTTTGTGTTTCTATTCCGGTCTTTGTCAAGATTAATCAAGATGTATTCTACTAAAAAAAAACTAGAAACTTCGTGTTTGAAACATAAATTTTTTCATTTTTCCAGACCACTGAGCACAACATCGCCACGAATTGCTACTGACGATGGGCAACCAGGTACTTCTGGATTACTACCTGCACGCTCTAGACGGTGAGATATTTAGTTCTTGCGAGCTTTTCAGACAATTCACTCTTTTTCAGGTCAAAAGGTTCTGCTCAAAGTGGTGAGCCAGAGGTGGTTAGGTCTGAAAAGGAGCCAGAAGCATCAGACAAGCCATACGAAAGGGTAATTACACTGGATGACTATGAGATGGAGACGCTTTCGGAAAGAGGGTGAGTGTGTGTTTAATTTCACAAGGGAGGTAACTTAAGAAAGTCCTTCAGAATTTTCTATAAACTTGCAGAGGGGTACTTTCGAACCTGCTTTAAACGATGGTCATAGTCTCCAGAATCAAAACTCGCAAAAAGAGCACAAATTTTTTGCTCCAAAAACGTTCCTCGAGAGGCGCACTTTCTTAATGGCCACTTTCTCTGTTTATTTGCCGAGAAGGGGTGGCCGAGTGGTAGAGCGTCAGTCTAGTAAGCGGAGGGTGACGAGTTCGACCCCCCGAACCTCTTTTTGTTTTTAATTTTTTTCTAAACCCACAACGAGCTTCAAAATGGATTTTGGGCATCAAAAACAAGTTTTCTCATTTTCAAAGACACAAAATAATCGGATAAAAACTTTTTGAAAAATTTCATTTTTTCGAAAATTTATTTTTTTTTGCATGTCCGAACCCATGAAAATTTTTGCGAACTTTTTTTTGAAAACATTTTCTTCGAAGTTTCTGAAGTGGTATACAGTGATAAGAAAGACTTACAGGGATACTTCGAAGTCCATATTTAGGTTTTTCGAGAAATAAAACCATGAAAGCATAAAAAACTAGATTTTTTCCGAATTCTAATGACGGATTTTCACAGATTTTGACCAAACATCCTAGCAAAAACCAATAAAAAACACGTATGCTATGCACAATCACTCCCAGGAGTTTCAAAGAAATTGTTTTCAAAAAAAAGTTCGCAAAAATTTTCATGGGTTCGGACATGCAAAAAAAAATAAATTTTCGAAAAAATGAAATTTCTCAAAAAGTTTTTATCCGATTATTTTGTGTCTTTGGAAATGAGAAAACTTGTTTTTGATGCTCAAAATCCATTTTGAAGCTCGTTGTGGGTTTAGAAAAAAATTAAAAACAAAAAGAGGTTCGGGGGGTCGAACTCGTTACCCTCAGCTTACTAGACTGACGCTCTACCACTCGGCCACCCCTTCTCGGCAAATAAACAGAGAAAGTGGCCATTAAGAAAGTGCGCCTCTCGAGGAACGTTTTTGGAGCAAAAAATTTGTGCTCTTTTTGCGAGTTTTGATTCTGGAGACTATGACCATCGTTTAAAGCAGGTTCGAAAGTACCCCTCTGCAAGTTTATAGAAAATTCTGAAGGACTTTCTTAAGTTACCTCCCTTGTCAGGACGCAGGTGGTATTAAAATTTCTTTCATGCAATCTCGAGAAATTTAGTCTTTGAAACAGATTTTTGCAATATTTTTACAGACAACAAAGCACAACAGCTCCACGCATTACAACAAACAATGGGCAACGAGGAACTTTTGAGTTATCTCCTCTCTTTTTTGGTTACTTCCTCGCCGGTTGCTACCTCACTAAAAAACAAAAAATCAACCGTTTGAGGTTGAGAAATTCAGCAAACATTAGTGAACCGGTAGTGACAGAGGTGGATCCAGAAACAGATTCATCTGAAAAACCATCTGAACGGGTCATCACGTTGGATGACTCTGAGAAGGCGTCATCAAAACGAGAGTGAGTCGTTTACAAACACAACAATGCTTTTTTTTTCGAAACTTTTTGTTGAAACTTTGTGAATGAAACGGAAATTATTCAAAATTTTGCAGACAACAAAACACGAGAGTGCCACGGCTTGCCACTGACGACGGGCAGCCAGGAACTTCTGGATTGCCACCTTCACGCTCTAGACGGTTAGTAGTTCAGTTCTCATATTTTTGGTTTATCGTTTTACAACTTTTAGGTCAAAACGTCCAATGAACGATGATGAGCAAGAAGTAGATGTACCAGAAACACATGAGCAATCACCAAAACAAGCCGAAGGGTAAGTTAAAATATGTGAATGAATAACAATTACAGTTTTCTTGTTTCCAGATCAACTCCACCAATTCCCAACAAAACCAATCCCAACCCACAGTCCATAGAAAAACCAGATGTAATTGCTGTTAATCACTCCAAGGATGTGGAGAGACCAGCAACCTGGAAACCTGAATGGCCACCACAACTTGCTAGACGGTAAGGGTTCTCAGCTTTATTGACATAATTCGAACTGTTGATTTTCAGATCAAACCCACCTGTCCTTAACACCAATCAAATAAGTGAGCAACCAAGCCAAGAAGTGATCATTTTGGACGACATGCCACCACCAAAAACAATGAATCGGAATATCGAAATCACTAGGAGAGTTATAAAAATGGGGAATGAGTACATCATCGTCATCGAGAAAACATTCCGAAAGTTCAGGGAACGTAGGAGTGACAGAAAGAGGTGAGGGGCAGTTTTAGAGAGACTTTGAATCCAGTTTTTCCAAATAAGAATATGTTAGGCTAGAGTATGAGAAAATTGAAAAATAACAAAAAAAAAATTTTAAAAAAATTCCTGATCCACATAGTTTTTTTCAGTCTAACCATTTTTGCACCCCTTAGTAATCTTGGGATTAGGTTTTTATGTATTCGGAACTTGTTTCATCAGAATTTCATTTGAAAAAATATTATCTCTGTTTCCCATTATTTTTATCAACCTGACAATCCTTACATTCCTTTAGTGGTACGTCGTGAAGATTTTCATTGTTCTAACTTCCAGACGAACTGTGTTTACACTAGAAGAATCGGAAAGAGGAGATATAATTATGGGAGTGAAAGTCACCAATATGGACTATTACCAGCAAGAACTTGAGAAACACGAGAAGCGAAAGAAAGCTGAGCAAGAGGAAAAAGAGAACCTGAACTGGAATAATTATTATACAGGTTTGTCGTCTAGATACAAATTATCAAGATGGTATCCCAAAAATCTATCTATCAGTTACATGAAACACAAAAGTTAAATTTTTTCTAGACACCCCTGGCGCAGGAACATACCCCTACGGCCTTCGCCACCAACCTCACCAATTCCCAGTTGAAGACTTGGAGAAAAAGAAAGAGGAGCAAGAAGCCAAACGAAGAAAACAAGAAGAAGAAAAACGAACTAGAGGACAACGGAAAAAGAAGAGAGCATTGGCAGAAGAAGAGGAGAAAAAAGGAAAAACTCCAGAATATTTCCAAGGTGTCAAATTTGGAAAAGAATTCCAAGTGGATATTCCGGCCTACACTCCAGAAGTGGATCCAGCGGAATACTATAAAAATCAAGAGCCAATGGGAGAAGCTATGTGGAGACCGCAGCCTAAGAAGGATAAAAAGGAAAAACTATCGTTTGAAATGATTTGGTATACCTATTGGAAAGTCATTTGGAGACAATTTGAGGGGCATATTCCGTTTCATTATGCTCTACAAGTGTTGATGTACAGTAAATATTCAATCCCTGATGCGCTGGAAAATATTGATAAATCCCTGAAAAAGTTGCATCAAGAATTCAAACCACTCAGTGAGGGACAGTATCGGAAGTTCCATAATTTTTTGCGAGTTAGGATTTTCAACAGGAACAGGTTGCAGAAGGAAGTGGTGAGTTTTTTTCAAGTAACTGTCAAATTGCCATCTCTGATCAAAATGTTATAGCCAGATAAAAAAACGTTGAAGCAGGAAAAATTAAGAAATATTTTCAGCTCCGCAACTACCATCTACTTGAAGTCAACGATTACTTCTCAAAATACAAAATTTATCACAAAAGTTTTTACGCCAAAGTCTGTAGATGCGATGATAGATTCCATGAGCCTCTCGACTTCACTCCAAGATGGTGTTGCTCAAATTGCACCAAGAATATGAAGACCAATCCTCTCCCGCCAGATCAACTTTGCCTCATCTGTCAGACCTATTCCAAACTGACCAATGGAGAAACGCGTCCAGCAAAGGATGTGGTCTTCTCCAGAAGTGATATGAGGAAGATTGCTGACTGGAATATTTTGGAGATCGCGGAACACAGGACAGTTACTCGTGAGGAGTTTGAGAAAGCGCAAAGAAAGAGCGATAAATATCGGTGGAAACGGTTGGAGCTCACTGAAGAAGAGCACGATATGCTGAACCTTCACTTGGTTCCTCATCTCGAAGCATGGAAATCCAATAAACTAACTCTGGAGCAGAAAAAAGAGCTTGGGAAATTCCTTGTCGAGCAACTCACTCCTCATCCAATCCCTCTATTCGTCCCTTGTGGATGTACAGGGGAGAAAGGTGATCGTCCATGGATGATTAGGAAGGACGAAGTGAAGCAGAAGACTGAGACAGCTCCAAATGCTGCAGTTGCGACAACAGTGTCACCTGTGGTACCTGCTCCAAAGAAGAAGAAGCCAGTTAGAGGGCAAGGAAAGGGCAAGTTGCCGCCCGAGCAGATATTGACGCCAGGAGCATGGTGGACTCTGAAAGTTGGAAGAAGCAGGGGATTTGCAAGGAAGAGGAAAGCGTAAATGAGGTAAGGCTGAAAAAGTCTTCGTGAATTTTCCGAAATTTAATCAAAAATTTTACTGTTTCAGATTGTTTACAAAAATTCTATCGAAATTGATGACGCCAATGGGTCGACGCCGAACAGTCATTGCTCATTTTTCCTACCGTAATCACATCTTTACCAAATTCTTGTTCACTCAATATTGCCCATTCATTTTCCCATTGACTTTAAAACCCGAATCTCTTTTGATTTTTCTTTTATCAACCATGATGAAGATGTTTTTGAATCATTCGTATCGGCTGTTATTATTTGTTTTTTTTTCTATCATTTCATAAAAGTTTTCTGTTTCTCTTTCCTCATAATAAATTGAATTGTTGAACTTTTTCAGTTTCATATGCATTTGCTTTACTAAAAAACGGGAACAATTGAAACACCGAAAACGGAAAGGAAAGAGTGTATGAATTGATGGAGACCAGACTCCATGGTTTACCTGGAAATGCGTAAAATATTTTTAGTGGTTCAAAAAAAAAGAAAAAAGTTAACTGGAGGTATGGGGAATCGAACCCCAGACTTCTCGCATGCAAAGCGAGCGCTCTACCCCTGAGCTATACCCCCACATTTCAAAAGAGGAGTAAAAGGGAAACACAGAGAAACGCAGAAATGTTTGATGACGAGAGGCGAATGGAGAAAGCAGAAGCGTTCTGCGAGAGAGTAAACAAGTCAAAAAAGGAGGCCATGGGGGAGAATAGCATTTTATAGGGAAGCAAGGAATGTGAAGAAGAGATACTAGTTGGAATTCATTCAGCCAGGATTAATGAAATTGTCCTTAAACTGAGCAATGAGAAACAGGGAATTTCGCTAAAATCGATTATAATGATGAGTTCAAGGGACTATGTTGTATTGAAATCTGACTGTAGATATTAATAACCTTGTAGTTGGATAAAACTGGATTAGATTCACCACTCAAAAACTGATCAGTGAAGCTGCAAAAGTTACCACATAATAACTGAAAGAAACCGTAAACGAAATATTTGAATAAGGGACATTTTCGATGGGCCCGTTGCAGATAAATTCCAGATCTTGACAATATTCAATCACAAAAACCAAAGACCAAACCATAACAACTCATCAAAGACCCTCTTCAATTATCCATCTATTCATTCCTCCTGATCTTCGCTTCTAACTCTCTTGTGAAATAAAACTTTGATCGTTTATCGCCCTACAAAAATAGCATTATGTGATCGGTTTCAGATGTCTCATCTGGCATAAATTTCTTTAAAAGGGAATGAGGTGAAATGTGATCAGAAATGAAACATCAGAAATTGTATTCATTCGGTTTGAATACCTAGTTAATGGGTCATTCATGAACTTGTGGTACTTGATGAGCACTATAGAAAGAAGAAAGTATGAATGGGAGTGTGGTAGGTATATAACGTGAAAGAGATTGTGTTTTGATAGGAAGCCCAAATTCCAGTTATGAAATCTTATTTGACCTTCTACAAATTATTTCTTGCCACAATCACCCTGCTTTAATATGTACATGAAACTGAGAAAAAAATGTAGAAGTTCTAGGATTTCCCGGAACAAAGTTGAATGCTGATTGAAGCAATTTTTTCAAATTATTTACAGAATACTTTTCATTTTCCAATCCTTTAACAATTTTACA